CATCCTTAAAAATCTGCTGGATCGGCATCTGAAGTGCCAACTAGTTTTACCAGTGTTATAACTTGTTAGATTTTTTTTGCAGTTTTTTTTTTTTATTTTCTTTTTACCCCTGACATGCCTGAAACCTTTTTGCTCTACAGTATTTTGTCTAATCTTTTTGCGTTTGTTTGTATTTGATCAATAACCCCTCTAGACTAGTAGTACATGTTCCCCGCTCGCTCTATTTCGTTTCTAATTCATGTGCTGCTTGTGTTTATTGCAGTCCAAGCGACGAGGACGCTTTTAAATCTGCCAATTTGAGGATTGTCAAAAATGTTTCTTCCAGGGGGCACATGGATCCACTTTTAGATCTGTTTTCCTTTGTCGATAAACCATCAGAGATTCCTTATACACCACGGAAAAGAAAAAGCAAGAAAAGAAGAACCAAAGAAAGAGCAAAAAACAGGCCTGACAGTGGTAACAATGGTCATGAAAGGAAAGCAAAAGCGGAAAAGAAAAGTTCTCAACCACCGCAGCCAGCCACTCATCCATAGTGAGCAGTTGTGTATTTCATTTAATTCATAAACACCTTTCAAACATCTCCCTGGTACGTATTTTTGTTTTGAGCCTTTCATAAATTGTATCTGGCTCCAAAGGACGGAAGTCATTAGCTTCAATCACGATGTGAACACAAGTTTGAACTCCTCTATGAAAATCTTCTGGATCTGCTTCTGAGTTCTCTCGATCATTTTCAATACATACAAAGAGACCAAAACATTATATTTTTGACCCAGCGGTATTGTGGTTTTTTCACTAACTAGACTTCTTTTAGTATCTTTTATTTTTTGTATATCCCCAAACTGTATTGATTTCTTTTTTAGTATTCTTTCGATTTATGCCATTTTTGTATGTGTTCATGTTTGTAAATATTAGATATAAATAACCCCGATGGACTATTTATTTCACTGCTCGCTCAGTTATTTTTATCCTATTCATGGGGTTGCTTGTTTTCATGATAGTCGAAGCGATGAAGATACAACCCGTGAGATCATGGCAGACGCTATCAGATCAGCCAAGCAGAGAATAGCCAAAGCTGCATCTTATATGGAGCACATTGCTCCATTTCTGTTTTCCGTTATCAACAAACCATCGGAAGATCCTACCAATAGCAAAGAAAGGGCAGATAACACGCTTGACAATACTAACAACGATTATGGAAGGAACGCAAAGATAAAAAACAAAAGTCCTCTACCAGCGCTCCTCGTCACTGCTCCAACACTGTATGATGGCTCTTTAGGATGCAGTGAAAAAAGTGATATGCCGCCTCTTGGCTCTGGAACATCTGCAGGTCAACTCACTGCACCTGAAAAAGAGATTTCTCTTGAAAGGGAGAAAAATACCTCTGACTTAGACGAGGATACAGAACAAATATTTACTTTCCTCAGGGAGCTCGAGAATGATCCGGAGAAGAAGCAATTAGTTTGAATAATGTCATGGACAAAAGCAAACTTTGTTCACGCGGAAATGTATGTAACTTAGTATAATTATCATTTGTTCATTGCTTGCAGGAGTTAATTGTGTGGCTCAAAAATCAAAATTTGACTAAAACCCAAATCTTCTTGAATGGAAAACTCGCTCTTTTATACTCAGTTAAGTCCCCTAAACGCTGGAAATCGCTTATTAGAGCTTTGCAATTTTAAAATTTTCTGAGGGAGCATGCCCCCAGACACCCCTTGAAAACCTGGACTGTTGATACAGTCGGTTACTCTATTCAATTCTGCTGGCTACTTCAATTTTTATCGAAACTCCTGCTAAGTATTTTTTTTTCTTTTACGTAGAACACAAAACGAGCTGGTAATTATTACGAAGACCGCCCCTGGAAGATTGTTGTCAAAAATGTAAGTTGGCATTTACTTTACATCATAAAATATGAATTGTAAGTGCGGCCACACTAGAGAGGTCTTTTCCAAAGCTTCCTATAGGCAAATAGCTTGAGCTAGGTCGACCGGTTCGTTCTGGGTTTTGATCACTTTCATGTTTGCGGTAATACAGATATAAATTGTGCAAGGGGGAAAAGCATTTGAACCTCCCTTCCAGTTCAATGTGTAATACAACGACCAGGAAGGAGTAGGGAGTCATGGATGAGAGGACAAAAGATCCCGGGAGGGGGACTCCGCATATGAAACGGGTGGGGATGCTCGTCGGAAATTTTGAATTAAACCTCTAAAGGAGACCGATCAGGGCGTCGCCTAAGCTTTTTTGACCCCTAAAAGAGACCATGTTAAAACACAGACAAATGAGGAAAGTTGGATTACATGGGTGGAGTAAATAAAACGCATTAAAAATATACATATCAAATATGATATATTTTTTAATGTTTTTTCGCGTGCAACCCTAAACGAGACCTTCACGGCTAAATATGTTGGCGTTTTGCCCAGAACACCCTAAGTGAGACCAAAATCCGAAATTTACACCCCTAAGCGAGACGACGAGCATCCCAACCCATTTCATGTGCGGAGTTCCCCCCGGGCAAAAGATGTGCCCTCTTACAATAAATATTAACGTGTGAACAGTAAACTCAGACGTCAGCATACAAAGGTGCCACTGGCAGCCGCTCTCAGTCACGGTTTATGAGCTTACTGTACCCAACCCAACCCGTGATGTGACTGATTGTGAAAGTTGGCCACACCACCGGGGTCTGTCTACATCCCCTACTCTTTTCGAACAGTGTTGTGGGTTCTTTTACGTCCCACAAGAACCAGGTAAGTGTAAGTGCTGTGAGACGGGACCTACTACGGTTTTTCGTCCTTATCCGAGAAGACCAGAAGTCTAACCGTTTTTAGACGTCATTACAAAGGAAGCTCTTTTTTCTCAGTTAGTTAACGACCATGAGTGTTGGTCCGGCCGGGCTTCGAACCCACGACCTCCCGATCAGCATACCGGCCCTCTCTCAACTGGGCTGCGGATATAAATCGTAAACGGTTTCGACCATTTTTACCCAGATCTTGATCAAATCGCGGTAAGAGGGGGGTAAGAGCGACTCAGTCCTTAATTTTGAGACTAAAAAGTTAAGATGTCGACTTCATTCGCGCTTAAAAGAAAATAGTCGGTCAGAAGTCAAAAGTATACGGTTTTCTACTGACATTTTCTTTGAGATGTAACTCCCTTATTAACTATATTTGTTGCTATTGTTTTGACCATGTTTCTCTGTCTTACGTGCAGGAGTGTAAAGATGGGAGGCGCCAGCTTATTTTTACTGGCTGCATTGATCTAGCGGATTATATCAGCGAGACAAACAAAACATTTGACATGACTGTCACATTAAAACCAGCAATGAAGAATGTTCTATCAGGAACAATTGAGTTCAACTTAACCATAATACCATAGTGAGTATTATGTAATACTTGTTGTGAGTAGTAACTTTCAAAATGTCCTCTCCCAGCATCTTCTACATTTTGAGGGAGCATAAACTATTAAGGAGACAATGAACCAAAAGTGAGGGTCACTGTGAATATTTTTGAGTGATGGAACTACCGACAGGAAGATGCCTTCAGATTAAACTGGGTTGTCGAGAACTCGCGTTCGGCCGTCAAAAACGAAGATAAAACGCCATCTACGCAGGCTCAGAAAGAATGACTTGATCCAGTAAGCTACAAAGTTTTGACAATCTAGCTTGTGGGCGCAATTTCGTATTTCGTATTATCCTCCTGGGTCAGCAGTTGCACCAGAATTTCAACTGTTACTAAAATTCCACAGCCCAAAAGCTGTTTCAATGAGTAACCGGGATTTAAGTAATCCAGATTCGGCTCTAAATAAATTCACGAGACTGAAAATATTTTCTGAGCAATAACTTGAACTTAACTGATACATTAATATGTAACTGCAGCCAGGAAGGGTATATGTGTATATGCACAAGTTTGGACTCATCCTTAAAAATCTGCTGGATCGGCATCTGAAGTGCCAACTAGTTTTACCAGTGTTATAACTTGTTAGATTTTTTTTGCAGTTTTTTTTATTTTCTTTTTACCCCTGACATGCCTGAAACCTTTTTACTCTACAGTATTTTGCCTAATCTTTTTGCGTTTGTTTGTATTTGATTCAAGAATTTGATCAATAACCCCTCTGGACTAGTACATGCACATGTTCCCCGCTCGCTCTATTTCGTTTCTAATTCATGTGCTGCTTGTGTTTATCGCAGTCCAAGCGATGAGGAAATCATGGCAGACACTTTTAAATCTGCCAATTTGAGGATTGTCAAAAATGTTTCTTCCAGGGGGCACATGGATCCACTTTTAGTTCTGTTTTCCTTTGTCGATAAACCATCAGAGATTCCTTATACACCACGGAAAAGAAAAAACAAGAAAAGAAGAACCAAAGAAAGAGCAAAAAACAGGGCTGACAGTGGTAACAATGGTCATGAAAGGAAAGCAAAAGTGGAAAAGAAAAGTTCTCAACCACCGCAGCCAGCCACTCATCCATAGTGAGCAGTTGTGTATTTCATTTAATTCATAAACACCTTTGAAACATCTCCCTAGTACGTATTTTTGTTTTGAGCCTTTCATAAAGTGTATCTGGCTCCAAAGGACGGAAGTCATTAGCTTCAATCACAATGTGCACACAAGTTTGAACTCCTCTATGAAAATCTCCTGGATCTGCTTCTGAGTTCTCTCGATCATTTTCAATAAATACAAAGAGACCAAAACATAGTCTAAACATTATATTTTTGACCCAGCGGTATTGTGATTTTGTCACTAACTAGACTTATTTTAGTATCTTTTATTTTTTGTATATCCCCAAACTGTATTGATTTCTTTTTTAGTATTCTTTCGATGCCATTTTTGTATGTGTTCATGTTTGTAAATATTAGATATAAATAACCCCGATGGACTATTTATTTCACTGCTCGCTCGGCTATTTTTATCCTATTCATGGGGTTGCTTGTTTTCATCATAGTCGAAGCGATGAAGATACAACCCATGAGATCATGGCAGACGCTATCAGATCAGCCAAGCAGAGAATAGCCAAAGCTGCATCTTATATGGAGCACATTGATCCATTTCCGTTTTCCGTTATCAACAAGCCATCAGAAGATCCTACCACTAGTAAAGAACGGGCAGATAACACGCTTGACAATGCTAACAACGATTATGGAAGGAACGCAAAGATAAAAAACAAAAGTCCTATACCAGCGCTCCTCGCCACTGCTCTAACACTGTATGATGGCTCTTTAGGATGCGGTGAAAAAAGTGATATGCCGCCTCATGGCTCTGGAACATCTGCAGGTCAACTCACTGCACCTGAAAAAGAGATTTCTCTTGAAAGGGAGAAAAATACCTCTGACTTAGACGAGGATACAGAACAAATATTTACTTTCCTCAGGGAGCTCGAGAATGGTTCAGAACAAGGTAGAGTAACAAACCAAAAACAAAATGAAATCTTTGTAGAAAAGCGCACAGCGAGTATAAAGGTGAGCATTACTTCCTACCAGCATCTTGCATCTAAATTCTAACAGCTCAGCAAATTTTTCCTTTTTCTTTGTTTGGAGCCAAGGCACTTACTTAATGGGATCGTAAGTTGAACAGGCCCATAGCCAGACTTTCCGCAATAGACCCGACGAGATTTGCAATCGCCATAGCCTGTTACAGTCTGCAAAAAATGATGCGGGAAACGAGTGGGACCTGATTTTGCACGTGTTATTTTTGCCTCGTTCCTACTATCTGACAACCTGGCACAAGCTACAAATAGCCGAAGCCGCCAGCTCCTTTGTGAGGAAAATCTGATAGGAAGCTCCAAGAAAAAAATTGAAACTTAAACGCTATTTTTAGCATTTGTAAATATAATTCATTGGTTAATCAGCTTCTGAACACTCAAAAACCATTTAAAAAGATTCTCTGTCAATTTCAGCCGTGTCTGTGAATTACCCTGAACTGTCATCTTATGTAAGCGAGGAGACGAAGTCACTCCAGGAAGAAATTGCTTCTCTGAGAAAAGTAACAGTCAAGCTAGAATCTGAAATGCATCAGGCAATGGGGATTAAAGGTTAGTAATATGCTTAAGTTCCTTCAATCACAAACTTGTAAGCCTGCCCAGTACATATGTCTGAATGATAGATAATCCGAACCTGGCCAGTTGTTCAAACGTTGGATAGCACTATCCACCTAAAAATCACAATTCAGGGGATAAGTTTCAAGGAGACCAATTGTGTTATATACTGGATAGAGATTTCCAAAGAGTTATCCATTGGATGGTATTATTTACCTTTTGAACTGGATTAGAGCTTTTGGTAGTCTGTATGAAAAGGTAGCAACATTTCATCAAATCTGAGTTTGTTTTCTCTTTTTGTCTGCATGTAAAGATATTTTTTTCTAGAATCAGTGAAAACTCACATTAGCTGATAAATATCTTGTATTTAATTTTAATAGAGTGCAAAGAAGAGCTGGAAGGTCTAAAACAGGACCGGATGATCTTGTTGAGTTACAGAGATGAGCTGGAAAAGAGAAAAACCAATCTTCAAATTCTGTAAGATATACAGTTTAATTATCGTCTAATTGTAAAAAGGTCTTTGTGATTCCCCTTTGTAGAAATTCAATATTTTATAAAGGTAATAATGAAAGCTTCTGTTTTGCTGACTTTGTGTCTAAGATAGTAAACTGATCTTAATAAAGGCGCTTGATTTGAGCACAGGCACACCAAGGGGGTGTTAGACAACAAACTTTGAGAAACCTCAGAGGCACTCAACAAGAATATAGTTCAAATCCACTTAAACATAGCATTGTGAAACGTATTTTAGTATTTAAACGGTAAATATAAGCACATTTTTATCCCCTAAATCTGTTCGGATTTCCTAGATGAAAGGCTAGTGATCCGAAAATTGTAGGGATCAAAACTTACCTTTTCGAAAATTTCAGTCACAAAAAAGGCTCCCGAAAATTCTAGGTGACCTTTTTAAGGTAAAAACCCGTTAAAAATGGGTAATTATACCATTCTTTAGATGTTCGAAAATCCTAGGAAAGGCAGGCAAGCAAGAAATTTTACAACAAATGTTCATAAAATTCTAGATCTCAAATCGTCTTCCGAACAGATAATTTCAGAAAATTAACGTTGGGTGCCCTTGACTTGTTTCACAGCGAAAATAACCAAGATAGCTAGGAATACCTCTAACGGATAGCACGACAGTACAGGTTTATGTGAAAACACTATTTCATCAATAGTGCATTGTTTTATATAGCTGATATGTTTGTCTCGATATCACTTATTTGTCCGCTTTATCTTTCCTTTACCTTTTTAGGGAAAAACAGGAGGATCTTGAACATTGTTGTGATATCCTCAGAAACGATCTCACACTAATCCTTACAATGCAAGGTATAATAACATTTCTCTTTCAAATTGCAAATAAAAGAAGTACTTATTGTATTGATTATAGACATAATCGTTTGTGAAATTCGGCAACTTCGCCAAAAATGCAGAATTTGATCCAAAATGATGTTGTGTTATGTTACTTCCAGATTGGCGTAGAACAGAGCATCATACAATGCAAGAAGCAAAGCTCCTTAATATCCTCCATTGCCTTGAAGAGAAACAAAGACAAACTTGCTGAGCAGATCAACTTGGTGAGCAGTCACCTACTGGCTTTTAAGGTCAGTAAGGTGGTGGTGGTGGTGGTGGTGGTGGTGGTGGTGTGTGTGTGTGTGTGTGTGTGTGTGTGTGTGTGTGTGTGTGTGTGTGTGTGTGTGTGTGTGTGTGTGGGGGGGGGGTTCGGGGCGGGTGAGGGTATATCGGTAACCTCAGTCAGCGGGTCAGAACTTTGTGTTGGTGTAATCTAGGATGTTTAATTCCATTCACTGTAAACCTTTCTGCATAGAGTAGAAGACAACTTCAGAAAAAAAGCCGTTAATCATAAGACCTGTAGTCCAAACAACCGGAATCGTTAGGTAGCTCTTCCCGACGTCCTTCTATTTTTTCCATTTTATAATGAACGCTTTCTCAATCACTGCAAAGGATCCTCTAATACCTTTTTAATCAATGGTTAACCAGCCGATTTGTTTTTTCTTGATTTCAGATTCTGTTCTACCGTGGCTTAAAATGTAAATATGTAAATAGTTAAATTTGTAAATAAAATAGAGACCTACATTTAAGCCATTACTTACAAGTTCTTATCGATAAAAGGAATTTTAGAGCCATTTCCGTTTCTTCTGTAAGAGAACACTAGATGTAAATTGTTTACAGTTAATATTTTTTTTTCACGTCTTGCAACACGTCCTTTAATAAGAGCAAATCGTTTAGTATTTCTTCATTCAATTCCTTCTGATCCAGTTTTCAGTTTTTTTATGGTTCAAGTTGTAAATAAGCAAAAATGTAAATATGTAAATGGTGAAAAAATGAACCCATAACCAGTATCATAGTAAATACTTCATAACTTCGTCTGCTTTTTTTTCCAATCAAAATGGAGAGTAACTTGTCGGAATTTTATACTGTACAAATATATAGCTGTCGAAAAAAATCTTTATGTGATAATTACTTACCAAACTGAAAAACCAAACTAGGCACAAATTTAACAGGGACGGTGACCCAAGGGGCTGAAACCATTATATCATGACTTTAATGCCAAAATTCTCATTATGAATATCGTATGTCACATTGATGACGTACAATAACGTCATCCTTCATGTGGTCGAACTTGTTCATCCAATTAGATGCTTTGATATTTGATCATTCATAAATGACAGTGGTGCATCGATTCATGGCACTCTTTGGGCGTGACCATGTTCATTTGGACTTTTGCTGTGTAATTTCCTTGTCTCCAACGTCAAACTGTTACAAGCCTACATTTTTTCAATTTTTTCTGGCAATCTAATAGGCCATTTTGCAATTTAGTTGCCCACTTCTTAAAACTTTGCAGGCTTTTTTCAATTTATATGCATGCTTTTTGCAATTCAATAGGCTGTATTTTTTTGCAATTCAGGCGCACAGCTCTCTTTGTAATTTATAGGCTAGGCTCTTGTCGTTTATTGTTTTTTCCTTTGCTAGTTTTATGCTATGTTCTATTCTCTGTTTTAAACCCTTTAACCCTTCTTCAACCCCTTCGTCATTTCCCTTTTTCAATATTGCCGTATAAATTGTTTGAATAAATTGTTTCTATTTTGTTATTTTACACTCGAATCTGAAAAAGATCTCCAACATACTACCATATTTGCACAGCAAAGAGACAATTGAATTTCGTCGCACAAAGTTGTCACATGTCAACGCCTGCGTTACTGTTACTTATAAGTTACTCAATATCATTGCAAGGGAATGGAAGAAATCAAAGTCAGTCATATGTTGATACACAGTTTAAATGACGTCATTCTATGTTATCGGCGCTTATGTCAATGAGTCATGACATCATACATCAAACTACAACGTGGTCAAGATGTGGAACTAAGAAAAATCAGTCAGCGTTTGTTTTCTTTAATTCATGTGGACTTGAGTGTGTTTTATATCACACTTATTTGTTTATTGTTGTGCTTTCATTGCTGTTTGGAGTTGAGAAATGTTATTGCGCAGATTACGAACAGTTCTAAATGTTCGCAAAAAATAATTTGAAACTTGTCTTCTTCTCTGATCTCTGAAGATATGTTCACACGAAAGTAGTGCCAAACGGATCGTTTGTTATCAACCAAACAGATCCTAGAACTCTTTGGCCACTTTTTAGATTCTATTATCAGTTGTGGCCAACCTTGTCCCCAGAGATTTCCCTTTGCTCTGGGAGTCTGGGGACGAGTTTGAACTGTGACGTGCACTAAAACAACATGACAACCTCTTGTGGGTTAATTTTTATTAGTCCAGCAGTAACCAGCCATTGGCAGATCAGTTGTGTTTAAGAGGAATAGTCCTTTTAACGCACATCTGGTCTTGTCTGGTATCGGACCGATCCGTTTGGCCAGTTCGTATGAATGAATTGCTTGCTCTTTGTAAACTTATCCTATTGTAAATAAAGAATATAGCTAACTTTTGTTTTGCAAACAATATCATTAGGGCCATTTATACGAGGAAAAATAAGACGCGTCTTACATAAGACGCGTCTAAAATAAGACGCGAACTTTCCGTATAAACGGCACATTTCGTCTAAAATAAGACGCGGCTTAGCTAAGACGCGTCTTATTAGATAAGACATGCTCGTATAAATGGTACAGTTCGCGTCTTATTTAAGACGCGTCTAATGTAAGACGCGTCTTATTTTTCCTCGTATAAATGGCCCTATTGTTTATTAGTTCCATGCTTCTCTTGGGTTAAGTATTTCCCCCGTGCGCGTCACTCGCTACGCGTCACGTGAATGTAAGGGTGTCGTTATTTTTTCTTAAGCCGAGCTTATTACCTGAATAATACCAACATTGAGGTTGTGTTCCATGTGATAATTGTTAGGTGTTATAATATCTAAAGTTTTAAAATGGAATGCGCACGTAAGAATGCCAATGATTAAAAAGTTACATCGTGCCTTCCTTTTCTAAGGCAACTGAAGTGCGCGAAGGTATTGACTAAGGAACCTTTTAGGTTCCTCAGCCACATCGATTACCGCGGAGTCTACGTACCGCACTGGAATCACAGAGGACATGATCGAATAGAATGATGCAATAAAAAAAAAGAATGGAACATAATCCAGTAGGGTGTTTTATGATACAGCGACGTATAAAATGGTGCTTATGTTCCAGGGGCATGCAATGACATTGTTGTCGCAACTTCCCCTTCATATAAACATATCGAATCCGAGCGATCCATTTACATTTCGACCGCAGTTTTGAATACTGCTTTGCAAAGTAGGACTGGAAACGAGAATTTTTGGGAATGAACGACAAATAGGCTGGCAAGCTCGAATGGAAAGCCTGGCATGCATATTCTAGGACTGAACGAATGTTTGCGCAATAAAATTGCATCAGGGACTTAGGGTCTACACCAGCGCGCTTAAGTTGCTTAAGCAAATAAATTCGAAACGCTTTCGCAGTAATATTATCGACATGATCGTTCCATCTAAGGTCA